AATTTTGTCGAAACTAGTTTCGAGACAGTTTCGATATCGATGCTCTCGAAAGTTTCGAGTTTCGAGAGGCATCATTACACCTGATTCTGTAATTTAATTGCCTAAATAGAGAATACATCAAGTACGTACGTATAACGATAATATAAATTATTTCAAAAATAGCAAATCTATTATATTTGACAATCTTATTACTAAATTAATAAAAAAATATATAAAAATGCTACGTATATAGTTTGAAAGTAAACTTATTTTAAAAAAGATTTAATAATCCACTTTTGAAACCCATAAATCAATTCCAGGAATAGGTTTAGTTAAACCACTGAATTTCTTTTTAAAAGCAAAACCTTCAACTAATCTAAATTTAAAATTTCTAATCATTATAGATAAAACCGATTTAAATTCCAATTGAGCCATTTTCATTCCTAAACAAGATTTTGGACCGGAACTGAAGGGTAAAAAATTATTACTTGTTACTTTCGATCTTATTTCCGGATTAAGCCATCGAGATGGGTTAAAATATTCAGCATCATCACCCCATATTGAAGGATCATTATGGATCGCATTAATAGGAATCGTCAATGGAGTTCCCTAAAAGAAAAAATTTTAAAGTTATATACTATATTATTATCGAATAAATTAAATTATGAAGAGTTATTTAGTAAAATACCTTTGGAATGAAGTAACCATTCATAATTTCATCTTTTAAATTATAACGTTGGAGCGCGGGCACTTTAAATTACAATAGAATAAATTATAGATAAATAAATAGAATAAATGAAAGATAAAAGAGATATTGAACTATACCAGGCGGAGTGATTCTTAAAGTTTCTTTAAAGACACATTCTAAATATTTCAATTGCTCAATTTCATCAAGGGTTGGAAAATGATTACGATCTGTAAATACATTAAGTATTTCTTTATGAAGAAGATCCTGCATATCAGGATTTTTTGCGAGAAAGTATAGTGTCCAAGCTAATGCAATACTAACTGTTTCATTTCCAGCAAGGAGGAATGTCATAACCTTGAAAATTTAATAAATTTAAATTTAAATAAAATTTAATAAATTATATATTAGAATTATATAATAATTTAAATGAATTTTACCTGACCAACTAATTCATTATGTGTTATTTGTGCATCAACGGGCAGGTTTTCATTTTCTTTTATCAATAAAGATAATAAATCTTTTCCTTGAACAGAGGAATTTTTTTGTTCAATTACTAGTCTTTCGGAAACTTTTTTGATAATATTAGCGGAACCATAATAACTTTTACTTAAAGCGGTTGGAAGTTTTCTTATGAACGGAAAGAGATCCATAATAGCCCAGTATAAAGGCGGAACATCAGTACCCATTACTGAATTATATGCTCGAGCCAAATCAGATTCTGAAGTAGTAGTGATAGAATTAAATTCGTAATTAAATCCTACCAAAGTAATGACAATTATGATTAAAAATGTCAGTGAAACTTAACGATGTATAATGAATTTAAACTAATGCATACCAGCAAGACCAATAACGTCTAAAGTCAACTTTGGAATTGACTCAGTAATGGTAATTATTTCCTCTTTCTTATTACCAATTTGTTTTATCCAGACATCTCTCAATTTATGGCTAGCTTGAACGAATGTTGGAAACATTTCCTTTAAATTATGTAAGTTTAAATAATTAAATACAATTTATTAGGATTAATTTTTTTAACGGATCAAAATAATACTAATGATCATAAAAGAATACTTTGACATTTGCAAAAACGAATGCAGGACTCATCATTTTTCTTTGCCGTTTATGGAAATCTCCTTCAACAATTGCAATACCTTCACCTAAAATTTCCTTAACCATATCTACGTCAAAGAAGAACTTTGGATAATCGTAACAACAATTTACCAGTATTTTCTGGATAAGATTTGGATCGGAAATCAATATATTTGGTTGGCTCAATAAGATATTGTACCGAACTATCCCACCATATTGTTTTGCTAGGTGAGCAAAAGCATCATCTAGACCTTGGTTTAAATAAGAGGCGTAATGTCCAAGAATGAAATTATCAACAGGTGGACCAGGAACTTTACGTAATGGTGACAAGTATAAAGGATAAATATAGCACTTATACAAAATGTAGCCAACAAATGCAACAAATGCAGCTAAGTAGTAATTCATTTTAGATTATAAGTCAAGAGAAGTGAATATTAAGTTATATAAAGTTAATTAATTGTTTCTCATAACCCGGTCGGGTCAGCTTTTGTAAATTTTCGAGAAAAATTTATAAGTGATTGATATGAATACTTCCGGGTGGATTTTTTTAAAAAAAAAATCATACATGTTATGACTAGTCTTATATGGGTACTATCTCTTATATTTATATTATAAGTAGCTGCGCAACACAGTTGCGCGAAACCAGGAACGGGGAAGTAATGAATACAGTGCTAGATACTATGAAAAG